TAGGTCCATCTTCTTTACAAAATAATTTGGTCATAGCTATCAGAAAATTTAAAAATGCATAGACTTTTTTACCCAGCAATTATTCTAGATATTGTCATATAGCTATTGCTACAAATATCACCCAAGATGAATGGACAAGGACACCCTTTGCATCAGCGTTTCTAATAGCAAAACTTTGGAAACACCTTAAAGGCTCATCATAAGAACTGGTGAAATAAAAGGTGCTGTGTTCATCAAATGAAGCTGTTAAAAACAACAGAGAAAAACTATATTTGCTGATTTGGAACATTTTTTAAGGGACATTGTATTTTAAATGAAGAAAGTAATGTACCAAATAAAGTTTATAATATGCATCTTATTATGTAAAAAAAAATGAGAACATTAATTCAACACACATTTACTGAGTGTGATAGGCACTGTTGATACAGCAATGAACAAAACATTAAAGACAGCTCTCCCAGAGCTTATCTGATGGTGAGGAGAGAAAGACAGTTCCCAAATACATATATAAAATGATATGTGCTATGTGCTGGGAGAGGGAACAGAGAGTGCAGTGTTTTAGATAGAGTCATGAGGAATGAGTTAGGAAGGAGGAGAAAAGAGCACCACTCAGGGGAAATGACATGAAAAAGCTTAGTTAAGTCCATTTTCAGGAATCCAGTCGAAGGTTAGTGCTAAATTCACATGGGGCCATTACTCCTGAAAGTGAATTCATAAGATTTCCTGTTTAACCATGTGATTTTTCTTTGGATTACAATGATTCCTCCTTCAAAAAAGCACCCAGGAGCAATATGATAGGCAGTACTCATTATATTCACTTTGTGGTTGAGATGTCCTGGACAATTGGTTGTCCAGGTTAACTAATTTGAAGACTAGAAGACAAGAATTCTTGTCTGTGTCCCTAAGTCATCCTTTGCTCACTGGATCTTCCACAAGATTACGGGAGGATATTAAATATCTGTTTACTAGAACCTTGGCTCTCTTTCTTCAAGGCAGCCCATCCTTAACACGACTTTTACCCTCTCTGCAGACATTTCTCATGGATAGGAGTCCTGTTGACCTTGTCTCTTATGTCTCCCAGGCAGTTAAAGAGCCTCAGTCACCTGTGTCTTGATTGTTCGATGGCTCTCCTCTTCTCATTGACTACACTGGAGTGAAGACTAAATATAGGCACGGCTTTCATATCTCCTAGGTCTTTCTATCCAGACAGACTTGTTATCACTAGCAGATTATGCTTACAAGACATACACAGAAGAGCAAGAGAATAGAAGTGGGTGTTTGAATGGTGCTAAGAAAATAAAAAAGACAGAGGTTGTAAAAGTTTGTCTTATTTAGTAATATCAAATGCAGAAGATAAACAGTGTGCCTTAACAAACATGAGCATGGACATAGCCTTAAGAAAATTAGAGAAATGGAATGAATGCCCATAGAGTCCAAGGAAGAGGCCACAGAAATGTAGTCCTAAGGCAATTAAGGTCAGTAAAAGTACTCTGAGATATTTACTAAAGAGATAAATGGCCATTTTTAAATCAAGTATTGCAAGCTCAGGTGCCTAAAAGGAACAGACATGGAGTAGAAATGGATGAGAAACCAAGTGGAGCCAGTGATAAACTTGAGTTCATGAAGCCAAGGGGAGAGGCTCCTCCTTGCCTAGTGCTGATGCTTGGCCCACAAGAATATGCACCTAGAGTCGTTTGATCTGATTTTTCAAAAAAAGATTTAACACTTACTGTGAAAACTCCAATTTTTAAATGTTGTGAATTTATTAAAACATATTTATACAAATATATTTAAAACATGACTGATCTCTCCCTTGTATTTTTAATGCACTGGCTTTCTTCCCTAGATTTGTCTTAGGGCATTCTTAAGGCAAGTGAATCTGTAGATGAAAGACCATTTTCCTCCCTCCTTTAAAAAAAAAAAAGGCACTTTTATAAGGATGAAGAGTGGCACAAAAAGTTAGACTTTGAGTATTGGTCTTAGATAGAAAATTAGGATGCAAAAGACCCATCCTTGGGTCAAGGTCATGCCTTGTCTGATTTTGTTATGACACCTGACACTCCAAATATTGACAAACATCAGATATTATTGTGTCACGGTAAACATTCAACTAGACTGGTTTAAATGTATTTCAGCTGTTAATTAGCCTACATGCTCACAGTTGTAAGAGATTGTTGGGACTTCAAATTGTGTTTCAGAATAGGAAACAGAGGCACTGGTTCTGCATTTGGTCCAAAACCTTTGTCAGGAGTCTATTCCGAATCTGGCACTGTGGAATATTGTGGTAATTAGCAAGTTGAATGTGATGCTAGGTCTGTTCTACAAAGACAACTTTTCTACAGAGGAGATGTTTAGAAGTAATGACTCAAAGCATATAGCAATAAGTTATAGGGCAATTTATTGTAAGCATAAAGTTATACACTACTTCTATAATAGTAACCTAGGTTATAATTTTCAAATCCAACAGGTTCAAATACTTTTCTTTTTGCTATTAGTGATATGAACACAGAAAGAGAACATCTATAGAAAACCTAAATTAATAATTTTAATAAGAAATATTGAGTACTGAATACACTGTATCACTGAGCTGTATTTCACACGCATTATTTTGTCAATCCTCGTGTTCATGCCAACAATTTGTACTACTTTTCACAATTAAGAAGCTACTGATAATAAGGGAGTTAGCAATTTGCCCTAAATCACAGAGTATTAGTAGAGGATTCAGAACTTGAAATCAGCTATTTGACAATAGAGACCAGACTTTTAACGTTATGCTTATAAAATAAAAATATCCTGAAAAAAAGAAAAATGAGAACAATTTTTTCTTTCATCATGATAAAAATTATTTATATTTACAAAAGTGTTTCTTAATTAAATTCAGTTAATGTGCATGGAATGTACTTTCTTTAATAGATTTTAATGATACAATCTAAAATTTAACTTTAGCAACTTTAAACATAGACTACGTGGACATTCTTATTTGTTTCTGAAATACTGTAATAGCATTAAAACACAAGTGTATACTTTCTGCTTGCTATGGTAGGTTATAGGAAATATGGAAATGTAGATACTAAATTTTTCAGTTTGTGTTTAATAGTGTCCACTACATATCCAGTAATTTAATGATAAATAATAAACTTAATTATCAAGGTTAATCATCTGCATCAAGGATTATCACCTGTGTGCTTTTCATTGTGAGTTTTCAAATAGCCTATATAGATGTGAAATATATATATGTATATATATAGGTTTAAATATATATATATATATATATATATAGGTTTAAAAGATGCTCTCCAGGATTTTGTTTTAGTGAAGTTTCAATGCTTATTTCACAATATAATAAGCAATCAAATGGAAAAGAATAGCAAGGAAAAAGGAGTAGCTGTCATAATTATGAAATTGAACTTGAACCCAAATTGGACTTGGATTCTTACAGCATTTACTTCTTTTCAATCTAGGTTTCCTAAGTCATATAGAATTTATATATTTTCTAAGGAAGATATTAGGAAGTTATTTAGGACACTATATCAAATGTGTCAGTTATGATGCCTTCAGCTACAAGTAACCAAAATCCCTGATATTATTGGGTTTATGTAATAAAGGAATTTTTTTCATTTAAAAAGAAGTTCAAAGAGACAGCTTACTCTAGCCTAGTATTTAAGCCCTAACTGAAATGATTCTTTCTCAGCTTTGTCCCCAAAGGTTATTGTATACACTCATGGATACAAGACGGCTTCAACAGTTCGAGAAAAAATAACCTATTGTGACAGTATTCATTGAAGGAAAACAACCACCTCTTCCTTTTCCTCTATTCTTAAGATGAATATACTTTTCCCAGGAGCATCCCATCTATCCTGCCGAGATCCCCTCACACCTCATTAGTTAAAAACTGTATCTTGTACTCATTCCAAAACCAATCATTGGCAAAATGAACAGGAGTAGTGTGACTTAGGATAATCAGGATCATTCCCTTTGGCTGGGTTTGACCCAGTCTCCTCTAAAGTGTATGGTTGTGTGAAAGACTGTAGATACTAGAATGGAATTAGAGTTTTGTTAGAAAGGAGAAAGAGGAGTGGCTACAATGCCTGTTATAGAATAGTTCTAAATGTAGCTGAAGAGGGATCAAGTAATCTGCAGTTCTTCTGAGATTGGCTCTTTGCTTTCCAGATGGTCCCCAACACTGGTACTTCATAATTACAGCTCCATGGCAATTCAAGCTGGAAGGGACCATTCTGAGACCCAGACTGTTAAATGTCTTCCCCAAAGCCTCACAATAAATTAATGGCAAAGCCAGGGCAGAGTTTCTTGACTCTCAGAACAGAGTGTTTTTCTTTCTTTTTTCACCCTTCAGACTTTAGAACTGTTGGAACTGCCTTAAAACTCATGGCAAGCACTGGTCTTTTTGCAATTAACAGCTCCTGATAATACATTTGTTTTGTTTGTTCAGCCTCCTAGAAACTAAATTGAGTCTGTGTTTTAAAAAAGCCTGCTGAAGTCCTTATTCCCTATTTTGACAGCATGAGCATGAATCACCATGTTCTTTCCCACCTCATATTTGATATGAGTCCCTTTCTTTCAACATTTCTCCCTATTGGTTCCCCATCTTCTATTGCTCCATCTGTGACGAGCTTCCTGTTTCTAAATAGACATTGTGGTCACCTCTCCCTCTTTGTCCCCATTCCTAGCCACTAGTTAGTTCGGCTGTGGTCTTTATTGCTCTTTCTACAGCCCACCAGGTTGCGGTTGTCCCACACATCCATGTTCCCAAACTGGGTTCTGGAATTATTTTGGTAGCTAGTACATTGGGTTAGAGTCCAACTAATAATTAAAGTGTTGGGATCACTTTTCCTATTACAAGTTCTCTCTTGTGTTTACCATCTAAGAGGAGCTATTCCTGTACTCTTGTCATATACAATGCACAAAATAGCATGTTGATTTACAGCCCACCACAAACCTGAATGCTTATGATTTCCTTTGCGTTTTTTCTTCATTTCTAGGACAAGATGTTGATCAATATAAAGAGCATCTTATGGATGTGCTCTACCTTAATAGCAACCCATGTACTGCATAAAGGTGAGTGTGGGTTAGCAATTTTTTGATGTTTAGTTAAATAAAAATTTAAGTACTAGAGCACGGAATGGCCATATGGAGTCAATAGAATAGAGAATTAATTTTTGATCTATTTGGTGATTTATAGTGCTGAACACTTTCATCTGAAATAATATCATTTTTCTTTTATAAATGGTTTTAAATAAAATGAAATAATGAACAAGATGCTAAAGAAGCAAGTGGGTTTTCAGTAACTTCCCAGATCACTTTCAGACTGCAAAAGTGCTCACATATACATAATTTTTAAAATCTGTCTTCTTAAATATACTCAAAGACTTTCCTATAAAGAAAAGAAAGACTATCAAACTCTCAAGAGGCTAGAGTGTGAGAAGAGTCAAAAAGATGAAGAGCAGGTTTTTACCTCCACCTATATTTACTTTCCCTTCCCTTCCCTTCCCTTCCCTTCCCTTCCCTTCCCTTCCCTTCCCTTCCCTTCCCTCACCTTTCTTTTCCTTTCATTCTTTCTCTATTTCATTAAACTTAATCTCCTAGTTAGACAATATAGGCAACAAATAAACTCACAATCCAAGTATTTTCAGATTGATGAAAATAAAACTTAGTGATATGATAAAGAATGGCCTGAGTAAGGGGAAGGTGGGATGGCCTCTTTGAGAAAGTAACATTTAAACTGAGATATGAATGACCAAGATGGCTGTAAGAGTTTAGGCTCTACCAATCTGTTAGCAGCCCAAGCACTGTCTCCTTCAGTGTTTTCAGGCAAGAAAGGTGAAGGTCACAGACAGGGAAGGACAATAGCATCCTGTAACAAGGGAGAACACAAAAAGGAAATATAGAAAAGGGACTTGGTTTAGATGGGTAGTAACAGAAGGGGAATAACAGAGACAATAATGGGAGAACCTTGAGGGACACTTAAAGCAGAGTTTAGACTTTCTGCCTAAAACAAAGAAAAAACTCACACAACCAAAAGCACTTAGGATATAGCTCCTTGACAGTATTTTAAAATAGTAATAATAACTAGCAGTATTTAATAATTTCTACATGTCAGGTCTTCTTCTATACTTTGCATAGTTAATTTATTGAATCTTAACTCTCCAATGAGGAAGATGCTTCTTTTCTCCCAATTTAGCAGATGAAGAAACTGCACTATCAAAAGGTGTGGAGGCCTAGCTAGTGTAGAAGATTATGTAGCAGTTTAGTTACAGAGCCTGGAGTTGAACCTGGGCGGTCGAGCTCCATAGTCCATACTTTTAACCACTATATTATACTTACTCAAAAAATCAAGTTCTTTGTAAATCTGTGATCATGATTAAGATATATAATTAGGTGGGGACTAATTTCAGAAGAATTTAGTTTTTTTCATATGAGGTGCAAAAGTCGAAAACATAAGATCCAAATAAAACAAATTTTCACAGTTCATAGTAGCATATACAACAGTAACTTGTTAGGAGTTAACACAAGTGTTTTCATCTTAAGCTTTTCTCTGTTTATTACTCGGCACTCAAAAGGTCAATAACTAACATTAATGAACACCTTGTCCACTGGTTATTGGCTTTATTTTAACGCATGAAGAGTTCTGTGCTTTGACAATACCTATTATATTGATTATTTAGTGCTGACCTAGTTTTTTGGATATTCCTCTACTATTAATAAATGAGCCATGCATAGTCATGAGTAAATGAATGAATAAGAGAGTGAAATTTATCACCCTAGAGAGTAATAAAGTCTCCTATTCTCAATCTGACATTTATTTGGGCAAGGTGTATGTGTGTATGTGTATTTGTATGTACCTCTGTGAGTGTTTAAGTGTGTGTCTATGTTTGTATGTGGTCAGATTGTATGGATGGAATTTATGTCATTCTTCTTCACAGAGTTTACTGACAGAGAATGAGGGCTAAATGATCATTCATTATTTAGAAATTTCTCCCTTACTCTACTCATATAGATCACAAACCATCTAGTGGGAATAGTGAACTTTTTGTTAATCTTCATTTTTACTACTTGAATTGTTCACAGTTTTAGACAAGTTCTTTCAGGTAGCCTTTTTTGAAAAACAAAAATATGTATAGTCTATAACATTATCCTCTGAACTACTTAGTTTCTTCTTTAAAATATTTAGATTTAGTGAACTTAGTTCTTGTGACCCAGTGCATTAATACTCAAGATTTTGTACACAAAAGACTTGACCACACAGCTTTTTGTTAATCCTGTTGTTAAGACTAGATTCTACAAGAATATATATTTGTGTCCAACCAAAGCTTTCGATTGCCTTGTATCTATAAACATCTAGAACAATATATAATCCTTGGGTAATTTGCCTTTTGACATCATTTTGTTCCAATATATTTTTGCATAGCAGCACAGTTATTGAGCAATGCTTAGAGTTTCAGAAACCTCCCAACTGGATAGATTGGACTGTATCTCTTATCTGCCTCTACACATCTAAAATTGTGAAAAGAATGATAATTTAGTAATAAATACATGGAATTGTATGTCATTAAGGAGATGATAAAGAATCTCATAATTTATATCATAATTGAGGTTGATGTTAAAGCTGTTTTTCTCTGTTAAAAAATGAATACTTTGTGATAAAGTTAATCATCTACATAACTCTTCAGGAAGGAAGATGAGCTTTCCTAGAACATACAGTAAATGTAAATTAGGAGATTTTTAGATCATAAAATACTTACCCTTTCCTTCTCAGAACCTCTATTCTTGGCAAAAACAAAAATCTTTGTGTTGTCATCATCTCCCTAATGGGGGCCAAATTAAGGGATTATGAATCAGATAGGGAGTCCTCTGTTGGCTTTACAGATTTATTTAAAAGATCATAAAAATTACTCACTGCTGTCAGTGCAGATAACAATTAAAGAAATAGGATGGGATGGAAACAAAATGGGTCTAGACTCTGCAAATGAACTAAAACTAATTTAGGGACAGAGGAAGAACCCAATAAGTACCAAAGTTGAAAGATTCCTTGATTAGTTGTAAGGAGACTTGTGGTCTGGCCCAGGTCTGTCAGCTGCCAGCTAGGAGCTTAAATGTCACTTCCTGACACTGGAGCTTTCTTAGCAAGGGATTGGACTAATTTCACTGAGGATGAGCTTTAAGTAAGATAATTTCTTTTATAAGCCAAGAATTTAATAGAATGGAATTATTCCCTTAATATTATATTTAAAGGTAATAATGATCTTAGTAACATTTAAAAGACTAACTTAATACAGTTAATAGTATACTTTATTTTTATTTAATTTTATTAAATGCCTTAAATCCTGTTTGGAACAAATTATATATAGATTAGTAAGATGATAAAGAAGTGTATGACAGCTCTGACCATGATAAATTAGAAATATATTACTGATTTCTATCATAAATACAGTAATTACAATACTGTATTGGTTATCTTAGGTTTATTTGTATCATAAATGAGATTTCTTAGGCTAGACTTTATGAAGTTAAATTTCAATCTTTAACAATAGAGAGTATTTTCTTAAAGCGCATAGTATTTCCATACCTTCCTGAAATTTTCAAAATGACTTATCCCCAACTGAATCCACAGTACTATTTTGACAGCTACATCACTTCTGATGCATGTCTATATTGAGATATATGTTCCTAATACCTTGACTAACATACTAAGTGTTACATACACATCATTCTGTTAATTAAGAATTATTATTTTACTCTAACTAGAGACTACTATTAGCTTGTTCATCATATTTTCATGAAGTAGGAGTGTTTGTGTATCAACATAATTTCTATTGTTATTGTCAGCATATTGTCTAGCCAATTAGTAGGAACCGGAAAATGAGGAGAAGACATGGGAAAGAGTTAGGGATTCCTGTAAGAATAAAAGAACATTTCTTTTGCATGTGATAGTGTTAAATTGCAGTTAAGGTATTCTTTCTCCTGAAAAGTAAGTGTAAGGGCTCAAATAGAAAGACATTCTGCAGATTAATACTTTAGGTGGGTTAGGTGAACAGACCAAATCCCTCCCCTACCCCCAGGATATAATTGAGAGGTAATGTTTCACTGCAAAGTGGTTGCAGCTGGTTTTGTCATTATGATGAAAGCCTTGGGTTCAAACATTGAACTAAATGAGGGTCCTTCAAGTGTTAGACTTCCTCCTGCTCCAATCTACTGAAATATGTTTTTTAATTTTCACTTCCTCTTTGAATTTTATTTTCATTTCTTCTAAGGTAACGTGGCAGTTACCTTAAATGTTTTTCCTCTTCTGACCTGTAGACATAAATTCTTCTTTCAACTGCTCTTTCTAACATCGGTCCTATATCTTAAATCTGCATTACCAGTTCTAACGTCTTTTTGCTCTTGCTTGCTCACCTTGCTATACATGCCTTATTCTATTACTTATTTTGTACATATTGAACTCTAAGTTACAAATACTTGAAAATGAATGCCTTATTTTCAGTACATAAAAATGAGCATTATTAATCCATATCTATGTTGTAAAACATTATTAAAACAGTATACTCTTATTTGTATATAAACTTATTCTAATTATCTCACCTTTTGAAAAAGTAACCAAATCATTGTAAGGGTTTCTTAGCCACTCACTTATTTAATATACCCAGTTGAGTTTTTCAGGGCTGTTAATTTTGTATTTTCTATTTCTCCTAGTCAAAGCGGAAAAAAGCCCACCTATTAAGGGCTCCCTCTCTGGAAAAGTCAACCTGCCTTGTCATTTTTCAACCATGCCCACGTTACCACCCACTTACAACACCTCCAGCGAATTTCTCAGAATCAAATGGTCTAAGATTGAATTGGACAAAAGTGGAAAAGATTTGAAGGAGACGACTGTTCTTGTAGCCCAAAATGGGAATATCAAGATTGGTCAGGGCTATAAGGGGAGAGTGTCTGTGCCTACACATTCCGAGGTTGTGGGAGATGCCTCACTCACCTTGGTCAAACTGCGTGCGAGCGATGCGGGCCTCTACCGGTGTGATGTTATGTATGGGATTGAAGACACACAAGACACAGTATCATTGGTGGTGGATGGTAAGGCCTCCCAAATCTGTAAGACATGATACCTGTTCAGAAGTGTTGTGAGACAGTGTTCAAAGCATATGGTATTTGGGGTTTGCACAAGTGGAAGAAACATCAGTCATTTCAACAGTTCATGCCTTTTACCAAAAATGAACTGTTATTTCTTCAAAGGTCAAGGAAGGTGACTTTTTGCACAGCAACTTCACAGAGTCAGTAAAGTGCAGTATAATGGAATTAATGAATACCTCAAGACATGATAAATAGTTCAAGAACCATTTACTTCACTATTGAGACCTACTTGTCAATGATTACTTTTGACCGTCAAAACTGATCATTTTGTTTTAATTTTTACAATATGTGTGTATGCACACACACCCACACATGATCTTTTCTTCTTTTTCTTGCAGTCCTAGCATAATTATTAAAATCTTTTGTTTCTTTTTAAGAAATATGAATTCTACCTTAACTTACATTGAAGAAATAAGGCATTTAATAAATACCATGGTACATGTCACAATGCCTTAGAAAGGCCAGGAATTAAGAAACATTTGCATTGGATCAAAATAAAACTTGGTGATTTTTTTTTAAAAGGTCAATACACTAACTGTTATACATTAAGTCTTGCAATGAATGAGGCATTTTCATTTTAACCCCCTTTCAGTGGTGGTTTATATGTCATTTGAATTTAAGTTAGGAGACAAAGCAAGGAAAAATTGCTTTAATTGGGTACACACATAATACCATAGCTCTTGGAAACAGAATATTTTGGCAAGTTATTAAGCAAAATCCTAATACCAGACATGATAGAACAGATTTTTCTTCCATCCCTCCATTTTCCTATAAAATATTTACCTTTCAGAAATATATACAAAGGGTTTTATTAAAACTTTCTTGTGCAGCCAAAAGGAAATACTTTGAATTTCAGATGCAGCAAATTAATTTTCTGTACATCCTTTCATGTTCAGATTCCATTACTGTCTCCTGTCAATATATTTTTATGTTGTGCAGGCACCCACTAAATATCCTGGGCTCTTCAGTCTTTTAACCTTTTTTATTATTTATTTTAGTTAGTCTAGGATTGTTTTGATGTACTGATATTTTTTATCTCTGTGTTTGTGTTTGTGTGTGTATTATGTTTATATTTTATATAAATACATAGATTATTAAGTTGTAGATATATACAGTAGTGGTAGATGCACACTATGTATAAATTTATATATATATATATATATATATATATATATATATATGTTTTTAAAATCCCCAAAGGAATTTAACAACTTCTTACTATTTTCATCATTAAAGAATTAGCAATGGATTTGCCCCTTGCCCCTGTGAAACAATGAAAATCCTCCACTTAATCTCCTTAGCCCCATGAGGTCTTCAAATTATCCCAACAACTGCAGATACTTATACTAACTGATATTCCCTGCCCTGCTCTCGGAGGCCCCTCTGTGCCCTCTTACAATCTTCAGTGCACATGGAAGATTTTTAATTACCAAGAGGACTGTTTGAAGCTTTGATCGACATAAGACTAATTTAAAGCCATTCAAATTCTTGCTTTAGCCTTAGAAATCATTATAAACCATCTCATACTACCCAGATAGTATGATATGTACCTCCTGGCGATTTTAGAGTAGTTCTATAAAGGTACACATTTTTAGAAAGACATTTGATGAATTTTTCATTGCACCATCAGAAATAGGAAAATGAATGTTGGTTGGCATTGCATCTACTTGGTGCTTGTGCAGGCCTTTTGTGCTGACACTTACCAGAGGTGCTCATCTATGACATGGCTAGTCTGTTCCCCAGTAGTTACTTTATTGGCACATAACCTGTCTTGGAAGAAGGAGACATTTTAAGGATGGGCCTATGTAAGACAGTCTTACAGCTAGAAGTCAGGCTGTGGCATATAGACTGTTGTCAACCCCGGGGAATTACTAGAAATGAAAAGACAATGGAAGATATCTTGGAAACCAAAGTTCATTCCACGTAACAAAGAAAAAATGGTCTTAGGCAATATGACTCTTCATAAAATCTCATCCATAAGACCCAGTTGCCCGGAATTTTATTTTCTAGTGACTTCCCAGGCACTTTACCTTGACCCACTTTGCAGTCTTATAGAAACAAGTCACCATATTTAGTCCAGTTAAAGATGGAGATGCTCTTGTGGAAGTGAGAGGAGAAGACCAACGGCTCCCTCCCTTACCCATCCTCACCCTCATCCAGCTGCTCTTTCCTCAGTCCTCTGACAATTCCTTGAGCCCTGGAGCACAGCTCGAGAGCCACTAGACTATGTGACTCCTAACATACAGCAAAGTTGAGTTGGAGGCAAATACCAAGATGCCTGGCTTCAACTCAGGGGAGTCTGGGGAACTTTATTCAGGCCTTCTTGGGGATAAAAATCATACATTTTATTTGTCATAGTGGAAACCATCAGTTATGCTAGTCAGATGATGAATATGATAAGCCCTGGGTAGGAGTTAGTAGCCTATCAAACATTTTTAAAACTTTTGCCTAATTTGACTTTCATATCAGATAACATTAGAGATGTTAGGTACACTTTATTGTGGGGGTAGAGATTAACTCAATATATGAGCAAGGAACAAATTAGGGATTGGAAGAAGCCTTCTCACTCATACATAGTCCATAGTTTTATTTCATCTTAGTACATTCTTTCTGGAAGTAAATATATCTAATTTCATCTTAGTACATTCTTTCTGGAAGTAAATATCTCTATGTTTTATGTTTGGAGGAAGTGGGGTTAGTGAATGTTCCATGTGCTTCTGTTGAGTTGACCCTGGGTAAAATAGGGCAAGTTGACCTCATGGCCCCCTTAACTCTTTGTATCTCCTGCAGCACTTACTCCTTTTAGTTGTCCAGTGTCCCCATGATAGTGTGAATACCACCTGTAATTAAAGCAGCTATCCACCACTCTGAATTTTAGTGGCCTAAATCTTTTTCTTAGATTGTTTACATGAGAATAGAAAATTCCAGGCTAGGAAACTTTCTAATGGAGCAGAATTGGACACCTGGGTGAACAGCATTTCTGGGGCTCCTCATATCACCATTACTTTGTGTAATGCTACATAAAGTGAAAATAAAATGTCACCATAGTGTTATTACCATGGGAGCAATTAATTTGATGTATTACGTCAGTGAGAACCTTTGCAATGTATGGTGGGATATTCGAACATGCCCATAATTGCTTGCGGCTCTCTTTGCAGGGGTTGTGTTTCACTACAGAGCGGCGACCAGCAGGTATACTCTGAACTTTGAGACTGCACAGAAGGCTTGTGTGGATATTGGGGCAGTCATAGCAACCCCAGAGCAGCTCCATGCCGCCTATGAAGATGGATTTGAACAGTGTGACGCAGGCTGGCTGGCTGATCAGACTGTCAGGTAAGAGGTCTGGAGGCCACAGGCTGTAACTCATTAATTTCACTGTAAGAATAAAGTGCTACTTACTCATCTTTTATTTCCCCAGGTATCCTATCCGGGCTCCCCGGGAAGGCTGTTATGGGGATATGATGGGGAAGGAAGGAGTCAGGACCTACGGATTCCGTTCGCCTCATGAAACTTATGACGTGTACTGCTACGTGGACCATCTGGATGGTATGATGTTTGAATTTCTAAAACTTCATTTGATCTAAGAAAATTGAAGAAGGACTGGGAGCACGTAGGAATAGAGCAAGTTTTCATGCTTGTTTGGATTCCAAACAGCAGCATTTAGTTTACATGACCATGTGATTGTGGTAAAATTAGCTTAAATTAAAATGGAAAGAGAAGGAGGAGTGTGCAAATGATTATGCAAGTTAGACATTTCTTTAGTTAATGGCAGGTTTTCTTTCAGACATGCTGCTATTGGACTGTTTCCAATACATTTTTAGAGCCTTAAGAATAGAAAGCTGTAAGGGTGGTACCTATTCTTGTAAGAACTTCAGGTAAAATGCTGTGATGACAAACCACTATGAATCCAAGTGCTGATAAACACCCAAAGCTCAACTAAATAGTGTAAACTAACCCAGGAGGAATTCTCACGTTTTACTTCTTCTTGTGGTAACTTTACTACACTAATATTCAGAGCAATCAAGCATTCATTCAACCAATCAACACATTTAAAAAACCACCTACTGTATGATAGGTACTCTGTTAGTCATTAGGGATATGAAACCAGGTAAGATATAGATGGTGCTTCAAAGATGTGTTGAGTCTGATTGATGTTGGCACCATCATTTCTCATGAGGCATGAGTCTGTGGTTCTTACAGGCAAGTGCAGTTCACTAGTGGTGAAACCACCAAAAGGGCACAATGCAGTTTTATTATAAGACTATAGAATAGAAATTTCTGTTAACTGAATTTTGAATTGAGTTGTACTTTTAATTTTGGGTGGGTGCATATAAAAAGGATAATCTCAATTTTCTTACATGTAGAATAAAGAGGTTAGACTAGGTAGCTTCCCTGGTCCCTTCCAACATTAAAATTCTATGATTCTGTGATTCTGCAAATTGAATAAACAACCTCAGAGACTGAAAACTAGAAACTAGGTAGCTTATATTTTCCTAATGCCCTGACTAAACTTGAATAAGAGGGCAGGCTTACTGGAAGGCTACTTAAGTATGATTTTCCAACATCTTAACATTCTTATTGTAACTATCATTTAAGACTGGTAAATGTATTTTCTAAATTAGATCTTTGGATACTAACAATTTCCATTTTTGTATAGGGACAAAGAGAAAATATATTATCTATATATATATATCATAGGTTGGGTTTTATTGGTATATGGATATTTCCCATATATATATAATATATATATATATTGAATTCTGATTAGAAAATATGTGTATATATGTGGAATTTGAATGTTTTTGTTTTAGCACATAAAAGTTGAAAAAGACAAAAGAATCAGTATAAATACTAATTCAAGCATTGCCTGAAATTTCTGTCAGCAGAGTAACAAGGCTTCTATTTGTTTAATAGAAAGAATTTGACAGTTCTGGAGGATATTCAGTGTATTTACAGAGACACTGTTCTGGAAATTTTTCTTCTTTGTTGGTTGTCCCTTGGCATAATTAGCAAATCTTTACACACTGGTCTTTTCTCTCTTGCCCTGAAATTGAAGGAGGAGGTTAAGGAGGGCTCCTATGACTGAGGATGTATGAGGAAGATCATAAGATCACTCTTTTAAAGGTCTCTCTCCTTCTTTTACTGAAGTATATGCCTCTCTTTGAAGTAAAGACCATTGGCTAAACTTTAAATTGATAAAAATTCTTATGGAAAGCTGACTATAACGTTACATCTGATGTTTCAGTGGCCACATTGATAAAAGATTATTATTATTATTTGAAGGTGAGCCCTAATTCCTCAGAAGAGAGATTTATTATTATATCCATGGGTATCATAATTACTACCTATATTTTATTATATTTTTGACAGCCAAGTGTGTGTGCTAAAGAGAGTAAAAATTAAAGATATTGATGTTGATGTTCTCAGAATGCATGTGATGGAACATACATCCAGTTATGAACTAAGGTGCAATAGCTTTAGATCAGAAGCCAAATTATTCCAGATGACCTAATGAAATAGGCAATTAAATATAAAATGAAGCATAGCTTAAGAAGATAATTTTGTTTTCATTTAGTCATTTAAAGTGAAAGATATTTAGTGGATGGAATGTCAACCCTCTTTTTTTTTCTTCTTATTTGTTTCTTCTTTTCTTCTTTTTTCTTCCTGTTTCATAATGGCATATTCATTCTGATGTATGTGTGTCTTTATAAAATTCAAATAATTATACTCCATTCAATACAACTAGTTTAGGGGGAAAAAAACTAATCTGAGCCTTATTCTAAAATGGTGATTGTAGCATGCTTATACATAGGAATATAATATTCAATTCTATTTTTTAAAAAACCTAGTAAGTATAAAATAGCAATAATATTAGCTATATCCATGAGCAAGGATTCCAGTATTAGCTGTGTTCTTGGAAATGGTCTAGACATTGTGGTGGCTTATAAGCCATGATTTGGTAACAGAACACTGTTGCTAAGAAATTAATGGAATTAAAATTCTAAAGTAGGAAATCTAGAAATTAAGATCCACAAAATAATCCTAGTAGGAAGTTTAATCTGTCATTTCCTGGTGAAATAGATTTGGAAAACATTGAGAGGGTTCCTTATCATGAAGTTTAATTTGTGTTTCTTGGAAATGCAGCTTTGGAAAACTTTGAGAGGCTTTAGAATAGAGTTGTGATGATTATACAGTTCAAAAAATCAAATAAATTATTAGACTTATCTAGAATGTTGAGAGAGGAGTCTTAGGAGGTAGTTAAGGTCCTCGTAAAAAAGAACAGGGGGTGCCTGGGTGGCTCAGTTAGTTAAGCGTCTGACTTAGGCTTAGATCATGAACTCACAGTTCATGAGTTTGAGCCCCGAGTCAGGCTCTGCTAACAGCTCAGAGCCTGGAGCCTGCTTTGGATACTGTGTCTCCCTTTCTCTCTGTTCCTCCCCAACTTGTATTCTGTCTCTCTCTCTCAAAAATGAATAAAGATTTAAAAAATTAAAAAAGAAAAAGAACAAGAAGGACCTCCACTTCATCCCAGCTCTGTCACTTACTAGTTGTGAGATCCTGAGCAAGGCTTCACCTCTGTTTCAGTTTCTTCTTCTCTTATCTTTTAATCATGGTATGAAGATGAAGTGAGTTACTGTGTGAAGCTTTTGTCACAGTGTGTGTCACAAAGTAAGTGCTCAATAAATAATAGCTTATGGGTGTACAAAATGTTCTTTATTTCCAGTGAATTCATCAAAAGAAGAAATAACTTTAAAATTGCAACTTTAGAGGCACCCAAATGGATCAGGAAGTTCAGCATCTGATTCTTTATTGTGACTCAAGGCATGATCCCAGGATAGTGGGATCAAGCCCCATGCAGGGCTACACACTGACTGACAGCCTGCATAAGATTCTCTCTCTCTCTCTCCCTCTGTCCCTCTCCCCTGCTCCTGTGCTCTTTCTCTAACATAAAAAAAATTAAAAGACTGCAACTCTGTGAGTTAGGTTTAATATAAGGAATTTTTTTTCTGACAATGAATACTGCTAAATATAGAATTAATCCTGACAGACTATAAAATTTCTTCTCTGGAAATTTCTTAAAACTAGAATTTTTCTGAGATGTTCTGAGTGTAATGCTCTGTCAAAGTCAGAGCCATGGTACTATGAGATGTATAGAAAATAACTGGAAATGGGTCAGTTTATGAAGAAGGGTGACTTTCATGTCAAGGCATTTTGAATATGATAAGTTGCTTGAACATGAGTGAAGAATTAAAATTAGTATGGTGGCAAAAAAGAATTCCTATGTTATCCCTCTTGAATTCTTTACAATCAGTATATTTTCTGATTAGAACATTATCTTCTTAAGTCACAGTGTTCAAGAATTAATCTGGTATCTGATTTCCCACAGAAGGTCATGGGCACATAAACGTGTCTACTTTGCCAGTGGAAGATTTAAAGAATTCTGATGGGCTTAGTGCTGAAGTAGGGGACACAGCCCTGTCTCCATCAATCTTCATTCATGTCATAAGAGGCACTGATATTACAAGGACCTGACTTAACATATGGTTTTATTTTGTTATTGTTTTCTTTAGGTTTCATCTTGGAAAACAATTTCATACTTAGATTATGGAAGAACAAATAAAACAGAACAAGTAAAAAAAAAAAAGAATTCTGAAAGTGCTTTGTGAATTAGTGCATTTCTATGCTGAAAACTGTCCATTTGATAGGAAGTATGTGTGTCATAGCAAAAACTAATTCCTAAATAAGTTAGATAAGATAATGTTGGAAAGAATGCAGAACAATGTAAATATCTCATCTAATAACCCCACTCAAGCCTTTAAGGAATCTTTGATTGTTTTTTAATAAAATTAATAGATTGTTTATTTGATTTCCTTATGGTAGCAAGTACTTGTAAGAAAACAGTTTCCTTTATAAAGGGGTTTAATTCTCCTTGCAGATAAATCATAGGGTAGTAGGTGAGGTCAAACTGCTTTCATTTTCATGATTGACCCCACATAGTTTCCTTGCAAATGAGCCAATACTTCTAGTCTCATCCATACACCCGACAAATGATTGACCTAGGATCTCCTTGCCCTTCTGATATGGGCAAGCTTGGGGATTTACATTGTATCCCTCTCTGGCCTACACTTTCTATGTAATCCTATCATTTAGCTATTATTTTACCTGAAGTAACTATTACCCTACCATTCTCATTTCCTGGCTTCCACACAAGGTTCCCAGCACTTTGATGTATCTTTCACTTTTCACTTTCACTTTCATTTTTATGGACTTTCTCCTTCATCTCATATCTACTTCCCAAGGCCTAGTTGATTTTCATCACCCTTACATCTCTAAACCTTGAATGTATGACTATAAACACCCCCATCGCCACAAATGTTTGCTTATACCTCTTTCTCTCCTATAAGACTGTGAGTTCTGGGAGGAAAAGAGTGATGTTTATCCCCACTATGTCCTTGGCACATAGTAAGGACTCCATAGATAGGGTTGAATAAATGTATGAATTCTTGAATTAATTTCCAAACTAGAAGTGCCCACTTGACTCACCT